ATAAGTACAAGGTTGTATTTAAAACACACAGAGTAAGGCGATATTAAGCTGCTCTTTTCTAAAATAATAAAAATAGAAATCTAACTAATTTTAACGTTGGATATTATTATACAGTACTAACCAAAAGGTCTTTTTGTACTATAATGTAGCTAAAAAATAATCCACAGTTATTGATTTCTGCATTCAAACATAACAAAAGGCTCAGTACGTCTGGTGGAGAGGATCTTGAAGTGAAGCATTGTCAGTGAATTGTATTCATCTGAAGCTTACATTTTATTACTTACGTTTTGTGAAGTCTAGGATCAGCATGTCTCTCTTTTTTTTTTTTATTACTTTATTAAAGTATTTATTACTTCTACAATATAAACAGTTAAGAATCGCAGTTTGTCTCTTTTAACCATAATGATATCTTCACATTTGAACATTGACTTTATTTTTCACATAATTTAGAGACTCGAGAACGCAGTTGAGCTGTAATCCTGTGCTACAGACATATGGACAGATCTGCAGGGCTGTCATTTATCTTCATAGCTGGAGAATCCGATTAACTGTTACATCTGCTATTTCAGTTCCTGTAGTGTGGATGAGATGAAAACACAGGTCTAAATCACAGCACATGAGCACATTTGGGGGGCAAACAGACGCTGTACTGAGATTTAGTTGGTGTTGATGAAAATGCAGCTTGATAAATGTATTCTGTGATTCTTGCTCCAATGCGTTAACCCTTTTTTTCAGGACATTTTCATACAAAATCAGAAACGCTGAAAGGTTATTTCACTGAAACATTACAGTAGGTTAAGCCCCTATTTACAAGAAGAATATATTGGAGGGTGCAGAGTCGGGGTTAAAGGGATAGCTATTTATACCAAAAGATTACCCAAACTGGTTATGTTTGCTTTATTATTTTTTTTTTTTTATTATTTATTTATTACAAGTATTTATATAGCGCAGACAATTTACACAGCACATTGTACATTCACACCAGTCCCTGCCCTCGAGCTTACAATCTAAAGTCCCTACCACCCATGCATGCATGCACATACTATGGGCCAATTTAGACAGGAGCCAACTAACCTACCAGCAGGTCTTTAAAGTGTGGGCAGAAACTGGAGTACATGGTGGAAGCCAACAGGGAGAACATGCAATCTCACTTAAAGTGTTACTAAACCCACAACAGTAAAATCAGTCTGTATATGCAGTAAAGCATGCTTGTTATACTCACTGTGGGACCTAAGGGGTTAATCCTCTGCATTGTGTAAAAAGGCCCATTGCTCCTGTTTTCTCTGCCCCTCCTCTTGTTCAAATGTCCACCTGGTGAGACAGACTGAACCCGTATGCAAGTGTACATTCCAAACGCACACGTTCCTGCTTAAAAATGGCTATGTATATAAGTGGGTGCTGCAGCAACCGTCGGCTGGAAACCGAACAAAATCAACAAGGGAGAATGTCACCAGCACACCGAGGATCACCAACATGCCTGATGAAGGGGTCCTGCGAGACTCTGAAACATTGCCTTGCTGTAACTATGGGATCATTTATTAAAGCTTTTGGACCCATATTGGTGATCCTCGGTGTGCTGATGACATTCTCCCAGACTGAACCCGTAGTCACATGCTCAGTTTAGTGTGTATTGCTAGAGAGGTTTTTTTGTTTTCTTGGGAGAGTACATGTGATCAGCACTATCCAGACAGAGGCTCAGGGGTTCTGCATCCTCCTAGAGCAGAAAGAAAACTCCTTGTGCAAGCTTTAACCAGTGCTCTGCTGAAGTCACAAGACGACTCTAACTGCTGATGAGAAAAGGTATTTAGCAGTTTATATTTACTAAAATAATTGCATTTCCATGTTCTGTGTACTGTGGGAGACCAGATATAGTGAATACAGGATCCTGGGTTTAGTAACACTTTAATTTCACCTTTGTGATTGTCTTAATGGAAAGCAGTAAATTTAGACCTGAAGACAAAGCATGAAGTCCTTACTGTTAGGATTATCAGGAACTTTCTATCAAGGGAGGTGAAGGGATCCGTTATATAAGAGTAATTGAATGAGGATTGGATGCCTTGCCAACTAGAATTGCCGCCTTCAGCTATAAGGAACATGACATGAAAAGCTGTGGCAGTCTGTCACTGTAACACACATAGACATAGAGTAATGTACTGTTCACCATACGGTTTAATAGTTGAGCAGAGCCTACCAATACCAAATTCCTTGTGTTATATTTCACACTGCAGTGAAGATGAATTATTTTGCCTTGCTTATACTTGCCTATGGCTTCATTATTTTGGATTTAAAGGGTCTTTCTGAATGAAGTTCTATGGTCCCATCATACACTGTCATTTTATAATGTTGGAATTGTAACAATACAAACAATAGTTATTTTTGAAAATCCAAATGTAAGCTGAACAGAAAAATCTCCTTTCATGTTGTGAGCACTGACTGTCTGCTGGCCATCGCTTTCCACAACTTCCTGAACTCCCAGCATGCTTTGCAGCTTCTCCTTTGCTGTTTACTGTCTATGGACTATGTATCTCAAGGTACCGTCCTGCCAGCAAACAGCGATTCCTGTACTGACTCGCCTCCTGAGACTCCTCCTCTCAGCACTTCTGTAGTTCAGAAGGCAGGCTCGTTGAAATGTGTGACACAGCAGTGCGCCCTCTTAGGAAGCGGCTTCCTATGGTGGTGCACAGGGAAGAGGAGGAGCCATGTGTGCCAGTGGGACCGCAGAAGAGAGGGTTCGGAGCTGCTCTGCGTAATTCCATTGCACAGAGCAGGTATAACATGTTTATTATTTAAAAAATATATATCTTAGTATTTACATACTCTGTATTAAAGCGGAACTGCACTGCATCTGAGCACCACAAACCAAAAGCGCTATTTAATTTATTTTTAATATTCAAAGCAAACCCATCCATGCTTGTCTCCATGCTTTTATTTTGCTGAGAAATCACTTTGAAAAACACCCCCATAGCATTTCTGGACCTGACCATCTTGAGTAAGGGCAGATGATTAATGTAGTATTTACTTCCTGGAATCCATCTTCACTTAGCTCAGGCAGGAGGGTGTGCTTAGCTGAGAAAACCCCTCCTCTCCTCCTGAAGACTCCTGGGATATATGACATCTTTTGTCTAGGCATGTAAGCCAGGAAGTAACTAAATAAATGTAAAAAAACAGTTTATCTGCTTTCCGTCTGCCCTATAGCAGAAATACGGTTACAGGGCGGCACGAGTGCACAAGATCACATATATATATATACGTGATTTTGCATTTCCGGGCAGGGGGGCGTGCGAAAGCCACGCGTGTGCCCTACCCTCTCTGCCATTCTCGTGCACGGCTTTCAATCACCGGGTCTCGACTGGTGATTACTTGCCGGTGCCCAGTGATATCTGATGGGGGGAGAACTGTTTTGTTTACTAACAGTTCTCCTCCCTGTCAGCTCAGGCACACTGCTCTGGATGGCCATCCAAAGCAGTGTGCTTACAGTGAAGCACACTGACACGGCCCCTACGTAAAAAACACTCTCAGCATACAGTTAACCCTTTGATCGCCCCTCATGTTAACCCCTTCCTGCCCAGTGCCATTAGTAAAGTGTGAGTGTTTTTTTCAGCACTGATCCACTGTATTGGTGTCACTGGGGATGTCAGTGACACCAAGTCAGTTCCCGCCAGTGTCAGAATGCCCGCCGCAGTCCCGCTATCTCTACCACCCTATATCTCTATGCTAAAACTTTCACGTAAACCAATTAATTTACACATAGTGGGATTTTTTTTTTAGCAAAGACATGTAGCAGAATACATTTTGGCCTAAATTTATGATGAAATGTAATTTTTTAAATTTTTTTGGACATGTTTAATAGTAAAAAGTCAAAAATATTGTTTTTTTTTTCAAAATTATCGGTCTTTTTTTTTTTTTTAAACGCAAAAAATATAAAAAATGCCCAGGCGATCAAATGCCATCAAAAGAAAGCTCAATTCCTGAGAAAAAGGGCTGTAAATTGCATTGTTGCATGACCGTGCAATTGTCAGTTAAAGTAACGCAGTGCCGTAACGCAAAAAATGGCCTGGTCAGGAAGGGGGGTAAATCCTCTTGAGGGCAAGTGGTTAACACAAGTAAATATGATATACTTTCCTACCTATTTACTAATGGTTGCAGCATAAGGGTTCAAAATGGTCAATATTGATTGAGAGAGTGAAGTTCCACATTAAGGGAACGCCCAACTACCTGTTCTACACCCCTCTATCCCTAAACACTTACCTGGCTTTATGTCACTACTTACTCCCGTGCTGTCTCCGGCTGCAGCACTGCTACGTTCGCTTCATGCTTTTAGTGGAAAAACTGAGTGCAGTAGAGCTATAGGCTCCTACTGCCATCAGTCATACTGCTGTGTGGAGAGAGCAGGGGCGTAACTTATCAGCCCTGTGTGTTATTATGGACACACACAGCTCAGTACGCAATGGGATCTCTCATGCATGGGTGCCTCCCTAGCTCCTGGCTAGCTACACTAGGCACTTGAAGGTGGAGCCAACTGTGGCGGCAGGGACTGCCAGAAAAGGAGGAAAGCGACCTTTCTTTGTAATATCGTTGCACAGAGCAGGTAAGTATAACCTCTTTTTTACTTTTATTTAAATTGTCCTCAGTATCACTTTAAATATTGACTATAGATATGCTCTAATAAAATTAATTAATTTACTTTTATGTAAGATTTTTTTTTAAGCTTTGTGGATACATTTAAGATATTGTTTTAGAGATTATCAAAACAAAAAAATTGTTTAATGTGGATGAGGTGTGTATATATTATGGGTGAACTTCTGCTTCTGCTGCAGTACTCATGTAATCATGGCATATCTCCTAGCTGAGATCCAAGATGAGATTGTTGTACATGTTAGAGGAGGTTTGTCCATTATATCACTAAACCTTTACCTGCTTTGGTCAGAATACTCTAATCCAAGGAGGGAATGCATTTTCTTCTTCAGTCATGCAATATGGAGTGATATTTTTTGTTTCTGCAGGCCTTCATCAGAAATACAGGGTGGAATCTCATTGGACCCATAACAAAGTGCATGCTCACTAATGAACCTGTTGGTGACAAAGAGAAAACCTGTTTACAGATGATTAATGACCTGATACAGGTAAGACCATTTGCTTTCAGGTGTATGGGTGAAATTCCACTGTCAGGTATTAGGTGCAGTCGGTTTGCTGTCTGTTCAACAGATGACAAGCTGAAGCTACAGTGGAACCAAAGTCTATGGTGACTGTAAGGCCTCAATCACTCGGAGCCAGTGGCGGACTGACAACTCATGGGGCCCCCGGGCAATTGGGGATCATGGGGCCACTGTGTCCTTGCCCAAACTCAAAAAAGCCTATGAAAAAGGTACCAGAGGCATCTCATGGGGCCCTCTACTGACCCTGGGCCCTCGGGCAGTGCCCGAGTTTCCAATTGGTCAGTCCGCCCCTGCTCGGAGCATATCAATGCATACCCTTGTGCGATGCTGAGTTTACCCGAACGGTGACTCACAAGTGTTCTATGGATTCCTGTGCAGGCTGTCCCACTGATGCCAATTGGGATGCAGCAACTGCACGAACACAGCCACTGTTCCCAATTTGAATCCGTATGGGTTTATGGCCAAAAACGCACGCTGTGTGAGTTTAGGGACCTGAACCCACATGGATGTCAAATTGGGAGCAGCGGCTGTGTTCATGCAGCCACTGCATCCCAATTGGCATCATTGGGATTCCCTGCACAGGGGTGCACAGCATCCTCATGTAGGTAGATATGCCTTCTCCTGGGCATACTCATTGAAATGCCACATGTGAACGAGGCCAAAGTGTTTTTACACAGTCATTAGGTTTGCTGCTTATTAAAAAGAAACTCCGCCCCCTATCCATGAAAAATTCCCATTATTCCACTTACCTTTAGGGCTGGTTCACACTGCCGTGATTTTAGGTGCAATTTGGGAATTGAAATCGGATCTAATGAATGTGAATATGAGTGTCTTAACATACGCGATTTGCTGCAGCGCAATTTCAAAAGTAGTTCTTGTATTACGGTACTTATTCTGCAGTTTATTGCGATTTCACATTAGACTACAATATAAATTGCACTGGAAAATGCAAGAAATCGTTTGGAAATATCAAATCAAATCACGGTGAAATCGCAAACAAAATGCACAATTTTAAATCGCATCCAGTGCGAACTAAGCCTTAATGCTCCTTTATTCTGAAAAAAACATACTCACAATCCCAGATAATTGGCTTTGGCCTTTTCAACCCTTCTGCTCTCCCACTGCACACAACGTCCCATACTGCCATCTTGAATGGCCTCTACCATCTTGAATCTCCCATGATTAGGAGTTGGCTGTCTCTTTCTTAGCCCCCTGGGATGTGTAATGCGAATATCCGAGGAGGCTGCGAGCAGTTGACCATAAGTTATACTTGCCTTTGCTAGGGATCCAGATATGGGGCTGCTCTATCAAAAAAGAGATAAAGAAAGGTAGTTCCTATAAATAAAAAAAGACAGATGCTGTCTGCAGTTGTGTAAGTGGGAATGGGGGTGCGGACAGATGAGAGGAAGTTGTTTTCATGAGTGAAGGTCCCCTTTAATATATTAATGAGTTACCATTAGATCTATTTACCCATAATGTATAGATATAATGTACAGATATCTTTGGTCATAAGCAATAAGTACCTGCACTCTGGAAAAATCTGAAATTTTAAATGAACCTGCCAGTTATTAAAAATAAAAGACTTGCTTATGGGCCTTAACCTTTAGTTGCCAGAAAGACCTCTTTCTGTATACTTTTGATCTCATTTTCAGTTTGTTATCAAGGCCCTGTCTCCCCTCATTAGTGTTTAGATTGCCCTTCTTTGCTCAGATTTGCCCACCAGCTGTTTTCCTGTTTGATGAGAATATGCCCTATTGGCCAGTGAGATCCTATGTTTATATTAAGGGGTTTGGCAGGAGAATACTCCAGAGACAACCCCTTAAAGAGTTACTAACTCACAACAGTAAAATCAGTCTGTATATGCAGTAAAGCATGCTTGTTATACTTGCTGTGGAACCTAAGGGGTTAATCCTCTCCACTGTGTAAAAACACAGTTTGATCCTCACTTCTCTGATCCTCCCCTACTTCCAGTGTCCCCCTCTTATCTCCTGATAAGATATTTTGTGTGGAGGCATTCCGCACATGCTCAGTTTGGAGTGTATTGCTAGAGAGTTTTTTTTTTCTTGGGAGAGTGCATGTGATCAGCACAGGGCTAATCAGCGCTGTCCAGAGAGAGGGTCAGGGGTCCTGCATCCTCCTAGAGGAGAATGAAAACTCCTCCTACAAGCTTTAACCAGTGCTGTGCTGGACACTGAGAGAAGTTACAGCTCTAACTGCTGATGATAAAAGATATTTAAAATTTATTAAAATAATTGCACTTCCATGTTCTGTGTACTGTGGGAGACCAGATATAGTGGATGCAGGGTCCTGGGTTTAGTAACACTTTAATTTCCTAATGGAACCATGATCAGAGGTTTGTGCAGAAGATTGTATTAATAAAGATAATAGTAGACATACACAAAAACAAAATGGTGCAAAGGCCTAGTGCATTACCAGATAAAAATGTATTGGAAAAGTAATGAGCGCATATTCACTCTAGCTAAAGGCTAAAACCGCAATATAGAGCAGCCCCCATGATGTTCTGAAGAAGAAGGTCTGTCCCTTGAAACACATTAGCTAGCGAGTCTTAGTGAAGCTAGGGTTGTGGTGATACGTAACCCTATGAAGGCTACCCTGCCACCTGGGTCAGGTCTATGTTGCTGATTTAGCCTTTGGCTATTGTGAGCATGCACACATTACTTTTCTTTTTCCTAGAAACTGTTTTCTGGTAGTGACCAGACCTTTGCACCTTTTTGTTTTTGTGTATGTCTGTTTTCAGGATTTCCCAGTCTGTAGAGGGCAGCTTTGGCGCAGCTTCCCAGTCTGAGACAAGAATTGATACTTGAATGACCTATACTACAGTCCTTCTGGTTCTCACCAAGTTCCTTGGTGCTACAATGTCATTTGGAAATACATCTATGTTCAGATATCATAGTAGACATCTTGGGGTTTATTTACTAAAGCTGGAGAGTCCAAAATCAGACTCCCTTCTGCATAGAAACCAATCAGCTTCTAACCTCAGCTTGTTCAATGAAGCTTTGGCAATGAAACCTGGAAGCTGATTGGTTTCTATGCAGAAGTGAGTCTGATTTTGCACTCTCCAGCTTTAGTAAATAAACCCCCTTGTGACGTCTCATTGGACAAATTAAAATGGCTGACAGGTTTGATTTAACAGCAAGTAATAATTGCATTACCCTCATAGGGTACAACCGAATTATGTAAGCACCCTTGGCAGTGCTGGGACAAGGCCCTTTAACATTGAATACAAAAAAGGCCATAGTGAGCCCTCCTCCATGAGCTGTGAACGTCTTTGCAGGATAAGTTGCAGGTCCCATCCTTTATGTGCCCCACCTGCTGATGCATCCAAGGTAGCTGCCTATTTCTTGACCCGGCCATGATCTTTGGCTTTTCAGCTTGCAAGTGGATAGCTGTATCTGCTTAGTACCAAGTGACTTTGGAATGATCTGGTTGATTGGGAAAGTTCAGTCAGATGGATACAAAACTATATGAGTATCTTTTATTCAAGACCTGTCAGGCAACGAACTGTCATGCTTTGCTGGGCTTTTTTTTTTGCCTTCCTCTGGATCAACTGTGGGTGTAGGATTATAATTTTAGTTTTTTGTTTTTTTAATGGATGAACTGGATGGACTTTTGTCTTTTTTTTCAGCCAGACTAATTATGTAACTAACAGGGCATGGTATCTGCCTTTTCCTGCAAGTTAAAGAACAAAAGGTGCTGCGTGGGTCATCAGTCACCCACGAGGGTTGTTAAGCTATATCAATGTTTTTTGTATAACTGTGACTATGACATTCCTTACACTGCCCTCTTACAACCTGCAGGAGCTGCATCATGCCATCCATGCTCTCAAACAATTCAGACTAAGTAAAGGTAAATCTTCCATCAATGCAGGAAAAGTCATAATTGAATGTACGTACTCTTATTTTGCAGTTGTGCAATCCAAAGGAGATCTTGCTGGGAATTCTTGAACAGGTTGATGAAGCAACAGGAGATCTTATATCTCAAATTATTTTGGCACTGCTTCAGCCTCTGCAGACAGGTAATATCAGTAATCATTGCACAAGCAAGTATGATTGGCTTACATGGCATTGTTTTCCCAATATACCATGGAAGGAATTTATTAGAACTCGAGCAGCCAGTATCTGTAGCAGTGATGCGTGACAACTAATCATCATCTATCTTCAGCTTGTTCACTTAAAGGATAAAGTCACGTTTTAGACAAAAATAATAAATGCACTTTTTTTTTGTAGGTAAAAGAATGTGCATTTATTATTTTTGTCAACAGGAGCCTGGAAAGCATTGCACCAGTGTTCAGTGGATCGCTGGTGCCATGCAGGTCTCCTGCAGATCTGTCAGAATATCTGCTTGCTGTACTGTGGCAGCACCCAGATATTGCAGAGTTCCCCTTTAAATTTTAACATTTCGACCAGTATCTGCTTGAAAAGCAAGGTTTTCAGCTCGCTTTTCCCCTCCCTTTTTTTCTGTAAAGTAATGTGTACCAGGCTGTAGCTAGCACCCTTATCTGTAGCTGGAATTCAAGGCTATATTTTGCAGAGTTTAGAAAGTTTTTTGAATGTATAGAAAGGTAAAGAGGAAAAATATGCATTGTGATGTAATCATTGGTATATACGCTTGTAAGAAGTGGATACAACTCACTCGGCTTTGCAGGCATGAGCCCGGCTGGGTCAAACAGCGCTGTTTTTAATAAATCACTTGTTTTCCTCAAGGTCCGTGTCCGGAGTTTCATGGTTTTCCAAAATTGCTACTGTAGTATGGGATGTATGGCAAGCAGATATTCTGACAGGAAGCTTTATTGAACTACCATAGCACTCCAAAGCAGCGTGGTAGTTCATTGAAAACTATAAGCCCACAGCCGCTAAGGCTGTCGGGGCTTGCAGTTCATTCATACACGGAAGGCCATGAAGGAATGATGCAGCTGTGTGGGTGGAGCCCTGCACGGCCGCACTGTTTTCAAATTTGATAGATAATATGGGGAAACTTCTCCCAGTATTATCTGTCAGAGGGAGGGGGGCGGTGGTCAGTGGCTACGGCTGCGGCTATGAGAACATGTTCCCAAAGGTGAACTTATCCTTTAAGCCTTGAAAATAAAAGGTAGAAGTTGGTTGGTTTTCATGCACAGCCACTTCAGATTCTGGCTGCTCTAGTTTGATAATTTCCCCTAAATGTGTTTAAAAAGAATATTTATCAAGCTGAAATGTATCAGTTAATGATTATTCGCATTACAAAATTATATATTATAATAGTTCAACTGTTTTAATTTTAAACCCCCAAGATCAGCTTTTCTCAACCTCTTTCAATCATGGCATCCTTTAAAAAAAGCAGAGAAATGCTGGAGTCTGGCTACAATCGTCTTGGACTTTATTAATTTAAAATCATCAGCATACGCTGATAACAAAACTGCTAACGTGTTTCGGCTTTGCAGCCTTAATCAGAGCGATCTTGTCTTCACAAACATACCTCTATGACATACTGGTGGACCACACAGGAAGCAGACCATGCTGCCAATGTCCATCACAGCTGTGCTAACCTGCATGCACTCAGTATGCGAGGCACCCAATTCCCAAAAGAGACAAAAATTACAAAATACAAACAATTACTTGGGGCGTGGCTTGGCGCCGAGCGGAATGGCCGCTTAATGTAGAAGCTCCCGCCGGCCGGATCGGACTGCCATACAGCGTGGTCGGGAGGGGTAAGACAGACCCCTCACATCATGGGGAAACACGACCGGATCGCGGTCCCCAAGGGGCCCCAAGCCCCAGCAGGGAGACACATTAAGGAGCTCTTTAGCTCCCAGGCACAGAGAGCAGGGCCGCAGCCACCTCCCTCTCTCTCTCAATCCCCCTCTCCCCCTCCCTCTGCAGCCTCAGCCTCTGACACAGGCTGCTCTTCCTGCATGGCTATGCAGGCTGGAAGTGACACAGTGCCACAGCATGATCTCTCTCCTGCCACACAGTCCTTGTCCCTAAAAGACTTACATGCTGTGGCCTCTGATATAAAGGCCTCTCTGGCCACTACCCTGACCACTGCCCTAATGATTTAAGGGAAGACATTTGCGCAATGGGCTCAAGACTGGCTCAGGTAGAAACGGTCTCCAGTAGCAACAAGAATGCTATACTCCACTTACAGCGACAGTCAGGGGTCCACACTGCGACTATCAGAGAGTTCTACAGGCATAGTGAAGACTTAGATAACCGTGGCCGTAGACATAACATTAGACTCCGTGGTGTACCAGAATCCGTGGAAAACCCTGATATACCTAAGGCTGTGACAACCATCTTTAACGACCTTCTGGGTCGCCCGCCGGCGACCCCAATTGAGATCGAGCGTGCACACAGAGCAAGTCGGCCCAGGGGGAGCGATGTGGATCCACCCAGAGATATCATTTGCTGCATTGTTAACTTCCCGCTCAAGGAAGATATACTTCGATGCGCTAGGATCACAAGGCATCTGTCATACGAAGGAGCGGATATACAACTGTACCAGGATTTATCCAGCATGACCCTACAACAAAGGCGAGCTTTGAGGCCACTACTAGAGTCGCTCCGTTCCCATAATATTATATATAGATGGAGATTTCCGTTTTGCCTTTCAGCTCGGGTTGGTGGCCACACATATGATTTGCGAATTCCTGAAGATCTACCATCCTTTTGCTCGTCACTGAATATCCCATTGATTGACCTGCCTGACTGGCAGGGGTCTCTGAGAGGGCTTCCGACCCTGACCCCAGATGCAGCAGATGGTGCAATGGACTGGCAGGGCCATTCCCTTCGTAGAAGACGGACTGTCCCTTCGACTCCTCCAAGACCTCCCATTGGAGGCGCGGTGGCCGCTTCTAGCCCATCGGCCTCCCCCGCGCACAGAAAGCAACGGCACGAGCCTTAAATGGCTCCCGCTCCCCTTTCATCGGGCCACTTCTGTGTAATTTTTTTTTCAGCTGCCTGTGGTTAATTATATTTTTTCTGTTGTTCCCATGGCCTTCCCTAAGGAGCCCCGAATGCCTCCTCTCTCACAACCTGTTTTGCGCTGGACTCCCTTCCCAGTTGACACGTCATTTGCTAGCTTTTTGGGGAATCTACGCCTCTGGACTCTGACCAGCACCCACTAAAGGAAAGACGCCCTGGGGGTGTCTCCACTGTACCCCCTGCCTCATTGGTTCCAAGACCTGCTGCGAGTGATAGTCGGCTGCTCCGGTGTGGATTTCTTGACCCCCGGCTCGCTCTCTACTGCTGAGATTTGGCTCCCCGGATCCCCCAGCTGAACTTCTGTCCCCTCCTCATCTGGAATCCGCCCAGTGAAATGGTCGCTCACGTATCTGCCTTAGTGGTCAGCTTCCGGATCGTCCGCCCACCTTTTGCTGCATCCTCCTCGTACCCAAGGGAACCCCTCCTGCCTCATTCTCTGACGCTCTGTTATCTTTGAAGCGGCTCCCAGCTGAACTCAGCCTCTCCCTGGCGTTTTGTGACCGGCTATACCCAGTTGACTTCTTCAGTGCTGGCGCAAGAGGGCTGAGTATTGTATGCACTGTATTTGGGTCTGTGGAGGTGGGCTGATGTCGGGATGGGGGGGGGGTTTGGGGATGGGTGTGGTGGGGGGAGTTTTTGGGGTGGCTCCTGGGGTTATTGCTTCTTGCCTGTGGTTAGATGAACGAGCATCCCCTTCCCTGCTTCCTATAGGGTTGTCCCGCCTGGCCTTGCCTTCTTCTCATTGGGTTATTCCTGTTTCCTGCTCTTGCTGTCAAGCAGCTTCTAGGGATAATAGCATGGGCGGGGCCCCCTTGAGGTTCATTTCCCCTTTGCTCTAAGGATCTTAGTGGCCGTGCGGTTGTGGGGGAGGTGATGCTCGTTCCTTTTGTGATGATGGGGGCATTGATTATATTTCTTATATACACTCGCAGTATAGGGTCAGTGCTTTGTTTAGTATCGGCTTCACTGGTGCTGATCCTGGGATGTTTAGCCTGTATTTGCTAACCACTTGGGGTTCCATTGTGTTTCTCATTGTTAATGCCTTGATTTTCGTTTGTTTTGCCTCTGCTAACCCGTTGATAACTTTGTTTTTTGTTAAGGAGATGCTTGCAATACTCGTCTTGGCCCTCCACTCTCCCACATTTGTCTTCCCTCGTTTCAGGCCTTGCGACCGTCTCCACATTCTCCAACCCTTCTCTTATATATGTGTCCTAGAGTTAACCAGACACTCGGGCTTGGATAGCGTGGGGACGGTTTTTGACCTGATTTACACCTCTCAGAATTTATTCCTGTCCCAGCCTGCGCTTTAGTGCCCCACACATGGCTTACACTTTGCCACTTCATGGAGTTGGTATGAGACCCTTCCTATGTGCGGTTTTTCCAGAACCTCCTACACCTTATGTCACTACCGAACTCCTCCCTCCTCTTCACATAACTTCTCACCTGATTACATATTTTGGCGTGACCACCGGCCGGCGGTGGCGTTTATTCTCGTCTCGGCGTCCTCCTCGTTCCCCACACAGTGGGCTCTGTGAGCTCCTACTGATCGTCTATACGGCGCGTTTTACTGTATCGTTTGTTTCCATTTCTTGCTTCTCTTTCTTTTCTTTCTCTTTCCACCGCCTTCATACTTTCTCTCCTAGTCATCTTTTTTTTTTTTTTCTCTTTTTTTTTTTTTTTTTTTTCTCATAGGGAACAGCGGGTCTCTTCCTCAAGCCGTTTATCTTTTCCACTTTTTCTTATTATACTCCCCCCCCCCCCCCCCCCCCTTTTTTTTTTTTTTTTTTCCTCATCCCTAGTGCATTTTACTGACGGGTTATCATGTCGGCCTCCCACCTCAGTCTCAGGACCATTGTCCTTGAAATGCCTATCTCTCAATGCCAAGGGCCTGAACGTGCCCGAGAAGCGTTCCATGTTGCTCTCCTACGTGCGTAAACAAAAAGCGGATGTGGTCTTCCTCCAAGAGACGCACTTTCGCCAGGATTCTATCCCCAAACTTTTCAATTTCCATTTCCCTACAGTTCTCCATGCTGCTAATCCTCTAGCCAAATCAAAG